ATTGGTTGTCGTTAGCTACTGTATATAATTTTCTTTTCGTATAATGTTTTGTACATGAATCAGGTCGTTGGTTTCTCGTTTCAATTGTTTTACATTTTTGTCATTTCGGGGCCTTTTATAGATAACTATGCGGTATGGGTTTTGCTCATTGTTGAGAATGCCTTACGGTGACCTATAGTTGTTTAATTCTACATCATGTGGTCTCTGGTAAAGAGTTGTCTTATTAGCAATCATACCACATCTTTTAATTTTTCTATTTTTTTCTACAAACAATACTTAAAGCACAACTAAATATGGAAATCGGATATATTATTGACCGTAAATACGCCCAACTTCTGACAACTGCTGCGTACATGTTCGTGTTCGAAGAATAATAATTAATAAACGAAACAAAAATGACAAGTCTACCCATCTTCATTTTGGAGATTTTTAAATATTTATTTATTAAATTTCCTACCATTCAACATTTCCTGACAATAATTCTATTTCTTTTTCAATTTGAAATACTAGAACATACAAGTAGGCATTCCAAAGAAATATTTGTTTAGTTTCGTCATTTGTAATTTAGACAAATATAAGTCAAGTCAGTTCGTTGATTTTTAATCTTTTATTGAAAATGTATGACATTTTTCTTTTACCACGTGTACTATAATTCCAAATCTTTGTCAAAATGTGTTCTCATCTATTATTAGAAATTGAGTAAAGAAATTTGTTTGTTTTGAATGTAATATCAAAATTCAGAAATAGAAATTCACAGTTTGATTTTCTCAGTGTGCCCAGAAAAAAGTCAACAAGATGTTACATTCATTGTTAATTTAAGTTATTATTAAACTACAATATCAAAAATAGAAATTCACAGTTTGATTGTCTTAGTGTAGCCAGAAAAAAATCACACAAGATGTTACATTCATTGTTTGTTTAATGTCGTTGTGTCTCTAATATCAAAATTAGAAATTTATAGTTTGCTATTTTCAGTTCAAACAGAAAATATACATAAAAATATAAAAGTATTGTTGATATACAGAATTATTGAAATATGATAAATTATCATCATAAGTTCTTGTTACATTTCATTTAAAGAAAACAGCTTCCTATAAACCTCCGATGATGTGAATAGAAACCCTCTGAAAACACGTATTCAGATATGTGATGTAATCAAAATAATTTTACTGTTCTTAAGCATCTTATTTCACCCTTGTGTTTTTGTTCATATAGTACACAGAAAAATGTAAGGAATTACCAGAAATTAGAAACAACAGAACTGACAACACCCATCATCGAAAACAACAAATAACATATCGTCCAGATAGCTGATGTACTAATGCCAGTTTGTGTCTATTTACACCATATGTTTAAATGTAAAACACAAAATAAAATAAAAACTACATTCAAGACACTAACAGGACTGCCACTTACTTAAAAATGGAAATCAATGACGGCACATGGTAACCATATGTTTAAATGTAAAACACAAAATAAAATAAATAACACATTCCAGACACTAACAGGATTGCCACTAACTTAAAATGGAAATCAATGACGGCACATGATTACCATATGTTTAAATGTAAAACACAAATAAAATAAAAACTTCATTCAAGACACTAACAGGATTGCCACTTACTTAAAAAAAAATTGGAAATCAATGACGGCACATGAAAACCATATGTTTAAATGTAAAACACAAAATAAAATAAAATAAAAACTACATTCAAGACACTTACAGGATTGCTACTTACTTAAAATGGAAATCAATGACGCCACATGATAACCATATGTTTAAATGTAAAACACAAAATAAAATAAAAACTACATTCCAGACACTAACAGGATTGCCACATTCTTAAAAATGGAAATCAATGACGGCACATGATAAAAAAGAGCAGGGCTGTAGTTTTTGTTTCATTGAATTAGAAACTATGGAAGCAATATAACAAATTTAATACAATTTTTATTTTTTTAATCGTATTAAGACTTGTCATTAAGGACTTGGACTCCAAGTTAATATTGTTATCTTATTTATAACTGGTCGTTGTAGTTTACTTCTTCAAAATATTCTTCAATTATCCTCTCATATGAGTACTGAAATGGAAAACAGAAATTGATTATTGAGTTACATATGTATATATGCATGTATCGTCTACATGTCTGTTATTCGAAGTCTATAGAGAAATTGACACAGATTGCACTGTTTAACATCGCCATCTTGTTATTGTACTAACAATGAAGATCATATATTATTCAATAGGGGGTTCATCAATCTTTATTCTAAAAGAAATAATTTCCAATCCCCCCATTTGATTTCATTGTTGTCAAACTTTCTAGTTATATTAGGTTACTGTTTACAGTGATTTTCAAGAGAATTCTGAAAAAATATTAGCTACTGTAAATATTCGGTAATATAACAACATACCGAATTCATCAATTGAGCAGGTTGAAAATAATAACAATCCTTAGACAAGTTGTGCAGAAATTCAGATTTTATAGTTATTCTTGTAGTCCTTTCAAGAAATTTATTTTGATTGCATATGCTTGTTAATTTTGAATACCCTTAAGTAAAACACATCAAGATATCAGAAAAGATTACTACTTATGATGTGTTTGACTTTGGACAGTCATATAAACAAAATGGCGATGTTTAACTAAATATTTAGGTATTCAACCGTCTCTTTATCTACTTAAAAGGAGTTACATAAGGTCTATGAAAAGACAAACAATAATAATGACTTCAGCATTTGCCTCAGTGATATCGGAATAGCAGACGACAATAACTATTATGTCCCTTTTCACTTTATTGTAGGGTGCTATATCTCCAAACAGATTTTAAACATCAAAAATGTGAACAGAAAACAGGATATTCTGTAAATCCGAAGTAAATTGTGCACAAAATTTCAGTACAAAGAGAAAACAAATTATATGTACACCACTGGATAGTGATTTGCATGAGTTCACAAAGGGTGATTTCCGCTGTCAATCTTGGGGACTATAATAACAATCGTTCTCTCTTATACTTTATCGAAAGACAAACATGATGAAAGAAAAACGTTCATTCATTTCAATGCAAAATATATTGTAAGGTAAATTTGTGCAATACAAAATCATCAAATTTGGTTTCGAAATATCCTTTTTGCAGAGAAGAATAATAAAGATGTAAATGTTTGAGAATTTCAGGCTTGATTTATTATAAATGCGTGATAGTATGTAGGTTTTGTTTCTTACAATTTTGTAATATAATATCTTTTACAATGTTTTTAAGATGTTTTAAAAAAAATCTTATTTCTTTCTAATTTCAGTAACGTTGGAAGCCTTGATTGCTTCTAGTTATCTAGTTATTCTCCATCATAGTTCTCAAACGCATTGTATCTCGATGTCCGGTTCTGAAAAATCGAAAAAAGACAACAACAAAGGTACAAAACCCAACAAAACAAAAGATTGCAGCGGAAATCATTTGTCAAAACACGCAATTAGCTTTTTTCATATCTTAAGTTTGGAACGAAAGATGTATTTATGTAACAAGCTTAAGCATATAGATCAATTATTTCTACTTATCAAATACCTAGTAATAATGCTTAATTGCCAGATTTTTGTGTGAATTTTACCTTGTTTTTTTTCGGATATTTGTTTCTCAATATTAACAGAACCATACAAATTTGAAAAGTGGAAGACAACGTTTTTGAATATCATAGTATTACATTCTTTTTACTCTGTCGATGTTGACAAATCGATAAATGTTAACTCCTTAATACGGAATATGCGTTGGGTTTTAATTACCCAGCAACAACTAAATTGCTAAAGATATATAAAAAAGTGTAAATAAAAACACATGACTATTATAATTGTTTTTCTTTATATACAACATCTGTTTGAAGTGTATATATATATTTCCGTCAATTGTTTGGTTCCTTTGTAATTTAGACAGTTGCGCCATCGAAATTGAATACTCTGTAAGTTTATAATTTTATGAAATGTTTTGATTGGGTTTAGAAATGATTGTTTCATAATTATTTTTTTACTTAATAATGATGGCAAAGCAGCCCGCCTTTTTAAGCGCATTTTACCGTTTGTCAGACTGATCATTTTGTAAAACATCAACGGGACCATATATATTGAAAAGCGGAAATAACGTAACATATCGAACTAATTTTTATATCGTTTTATTTAGTCGAATTCGATAAATCAAGAGAAGCAGATGCCTCCATATGGAAACGATTTGGTTGTTAATCACCCGAACCTAACCAAACAACTTATTTTTTTTAAGAAATCATGATTTATATAGTGAAAACATATACACACGACTATCCTATTTCCTTTTATGACAATTTTATTCATAACTTTACACTAACATAGTTTGCTAAATTTTGCTGATTTCATTTCAATTGTTTTGCATGTTTGTTTGTTCACCTGTTATATGCCACCAACCTTCAAGATATGTTTGTACTTACACTAGGATGTCGTTGAATGAAATTGGATACCCTGTATTTATCATGCTTATCAATAAAATAAGGTCAAATCGCTGAAAGACCCCCCTTAAATTATATGTCTGCATTGACAATAATATTTTGGTGTTAAGTAGATAGGTGTATCTAATACCTGTGATAGTTTTAGAGATAAAATAGACTTACCTGAAAATTGTTCTTTTATAGCTTAACATGATAAGAGCCGTCAAACAAGTGAGTTTTATAAAAACGTATAACATAGCGACAGTTTCTATATTGAATACTGATTTACGTTTAATTCATTGTAACATGTAGTTGTAATAAATCCCTGGAAAATATGTTGATTTTTGGTTGTCGTTAAGATATGAAGGAGGAGCTAAAGAGTTCCTGAAGTGAAACGAATGATAGTTCGTGCGGTAAAATCAAAATCAAGAATAACTCAGTGAACTCAGATAAACAACTCAAGATGTTGCAGAAGAAACGAATTAAAAAAGAAACGCAATCGGCTGTTCAGAATCAATTATACAAACTGTGTGTAGCTTCAGTATCTATATAATCTTTTCAAATATCCAGGGATTGTGACATCATGAACATGTTTGCAACCTTTTTGATATTAGTTTTATTGGCATGCACTTGGCAAGGTATTGATGGCCTTACAGGTAAATGAAAGCTATTACATTATTTCTAATATAACGATTGTTTGACACCATTTTCAGCACTATTAGCTATATCTTGACCGTCAGTTTTCATCTAAGCAGGTACTAATATATTAAGTTTAATGTAGAAAAACGCAGGAAACGAACTTCCAAGGACTATACGAGTGAATGTCTTTTATCAGATACACTCGCCATCAAAATATTGCGACGCTGAATACATATAGCGGTTTGGAGCTTTAAACCTAAACACGTCTTATAGCAATGAAATATTTTATATTTACAGAGCCTGTGCAAGAATGTGTTAAAGTATGCAAGATAGAATATTTACCAGGTAAATCATTTCGTTATTGCTTAAAAAGTCTTATTTTTTTGTTTATAGCTACCCACAATGTAATATCATATTTATTTTAAGATTGAGATTCAAAATGAACTACACCGTGTAGACAATTTATTCGGATGGCATTTAAAAAAATAACTTCATTTTTAGCTACACAGATATTTTAAAAATACGATCTAATACAAAAATATGATAACCGCCTTTTAAAAATATGAAAATAAAATAAAAACAAGAGATAATAACCTTCAATTGTACGGTTTTTACGGATAATGGTTAAAACAATTCAAGATAAAAATATGCGCAAAATCGCTTTGATTGCAGAATAAAATGATTTATTATCTATGCTGGAATGTATATTGATTACGTATGTCGGACAACATATATTTTCATTAATCTAACACGTTTTAGATTCAAATATATATTACTCTTCTTATTTATACATTCATTATGACATTTTAGAAAAGACTATTTTAGTGCAAAATCCAATGTTTTGCTTTTGCAGGGCGTGAGCTTGCCATGTGCATTAGCGGTTGCTCTGGTAAGTGAATTGTCGTTGTTTCTTTGTTATTTGTATACCTTAGTTAATCTAGTCATTTTTGTACGAAAACAATATCTATTTACAACAAAACTAAGTTTAATTTACACTGTCAATTTCATATTATAACTCTATATCAATTTTCATTGTACTCCTTAAACAGACCAACATTCTGTCTTGGGCTGTTAGCGTTACCGTGTGGAAAAAGAAGGGGGGTGCTTTAAAAATGTGCAGCGTTCTAGTTTGATTTTTTCCCATTTATATATTTTTCAAGTAACAATCATTCATTGTTGAAACAAGGAACCAATTTGACATAGCATATTTTGCCAATACAATTTTTTCATTGAAATCCATTGATATAACATATTTCTCCCTAATTTACACAAAAGTTGAAGAAGACCTTCCAAAATGTAGATACACATTATTTAAATCAAATGATACAAAGTGACATGTATATCTCAAAAACAATACGGGTTTGTGCTAGACTGCGATATGTATGATTTTTGTGTGTATACATATTTACTTCAAAATTGCTGTATTGTATAACCTTATAAATTCCCACTTCTATATTAAAGATGGCGGGTGTCAGCGTTTATGTGTAGAAAGCGAAGGTGAGTGCTTTAAAAATGTGTAGAGTTTTAGTTCAACTTATTCTTTTATTTATATTTCTGGAATTTGATCAAAATAAGTCCATTTTGAAATAAATCATTCATTGACTAAAACAGACGTTTAAGTTAAATAACAGGAATTTTTGTTTGACTAGGTTTTAATAACAAATAACGTCACACCGAAACAGGTCAACCACCAACAACCAAACTACCAACGAAGAAAGGTTAAGCATATCAAGCCTTAGAAATGTTATTATTAGCAAAGAGCTAGTGTCTGATGAGAGCGATAATTTTCTTCCAAGATAAACAGTTTTGGTATGTTCTAACTTTAAGCATGATCTGTTCTCTGTCTTTAATATTGCAGATCCTGAACAGGATATTAAAAAATGCTTTGACAGTTGTTAAAAACTTTCGGAATTGCTTGTAAGTTCTTTACTAATATTTAGAAGAGATAGAAAATATCAAGGAGGCAAGCAAAACCCACGTTTTTCTTCATTTGTGATTTTTAAATGGCAAAATGCACATCAAGTCTGTAAATATTGTTTTTGTATTACTCTCTTTAAATGGAAATGTGGTTTTATGAAGATTTTGTCATATTAAATACCAAAAATTGAAACATTTCTTCAAGAAATATACAATTTCACTTTTGTGAAATCATTCAGGTTCGAGATGGTTTGTTTCTGCTTATATGAAGCTAAATGATATATAAGAAGACTTGACACAAATTTTATTTCTTTTGCAGATTTCATGAATCCTAAAGATAAAGAGAGAGAGAGAAGCCAGGAAATATTAAAATGAAATAAAATTAACTTCTCTTAATTGTTTGTCATATCTTTTGCTGACAATAAAAAAAAAGACCACGACAATTCTTACCCTACAGTATATATGTACACATGCATGTCACAAGTGTAACCTGTTCAACCCTTTTTTAATCCATAAAGTTTGTTTAATCATTGTATTTTATTTTGCACTCAAGTATTTGTCATCTATTGTGATTGTATTTGAGAATCCTCATACTGATTTCTTCTTGTATGATCTTTATGTATCTTTCCGACGCCGTGACAAAAAAAAAGATGAAAAGACGAACAAATCCACAAAACACTACATAGAAAACTAAGAAATCATAAACAAGACCCCACCACAAACCGGAATTGAACTCAGGTGGTCTGGAAGGATAAATAGTTCCTACTCCACATGTGGCATCCGTCGTGTTACTAATGCAATTACAACACAGGTGATAAGTCTCAATCGGTGATGTCAAAATCGAGAAAAAGAGGACGGGATTGTATCAGTGGCCATCTGAGACACATATATTTAGCTATAAAAAGGAGATGTGGTATGGGTCGAAATGAAACAACTTTTCACCAAAGACAAACACATTCGGATATGTTAGTTTGAAATGAATGAGATTGAATAGGGCGAGCGATGAGACCTCATAAAATAAGTTGATCCCAGCCAATGTTTATGTGCCTGTCCCAAATAAGGAATATCGTTAGCAGTTGTATTTGTCACATCTAAAATTATATGAATGTTTTTGTTATTATCGGGATTAAGATGTTGATGATATTTATTTGATTGTCTTTATTAGATTTATTCACTATTTATGTAAACTTGCATCCACTTTATTTGAACTTTGGTGGATAGTTGTCTCATTGGTAATCATACCTCTTCTCCTTATTTTTATATTGGGCGATTTTTGACTTGAATAGAAACCTGTCTATTATTGAAGACCGTATGTTGACCTCTATATCTATATTGTACTTTATGTTGTCGGGTTGCCGTCTCATCGACGTTTTAACCACATTTTGCTCCATTAATATTCACATAAAATGATCTCAGGTAATATCGATTTTTACATTTTCTCTGGAATCTGCTTTCAGTTAAGATCCTATTACAAGACCGATAAGAGTAAAAGTTAGTACACTTTTCCTGTCTGCTCGTTTTTTTTTTTGTTTGTTTTTTTTTTTTTTTTGCTATTGTGTATGGCAGAATGCGATTGATATGGTCACTGTAGAAAATAAACTTGAATCTTTAGTTTGATTTATATATTGCATATTTTAAAAGAAAAGACCTTTATATGTTAGAAATATTTGAGCGTTAGCAATGAGCTGAAATTCATATTATTAAATATCAGCAAATAAAACAAATATGCTAAAAGAAGTAGCATTTTCCCAATTGAAAACAGCTATCATTTGACGGTAACTAAAACGATTGATTGATTGATTGTTATTTACGCTACGTGCAATGGCAAATATTTCGTCAGGAATAGAACAAATAAACAATAATCCAATAGGTAGGTTCTGCAGGGATAATCGAACGAATTGAAGGGGAATTTCAACTGGCACTTACATATTAGGGTTTGATAGACTGTTGCAAAAAGTGACTTACGGCCCTTCAATGAGTTGTTGCAAGGCTTTTCGACGTGCAGAGATCGTGACACTTTCTCAAAAAGATGCATCGGAATTACGTCCCCAGTCTGATCGGACATGACTGCGTAATCATACTACCCACAAGCCAAACGGACGCCCTTCTTTAGTATGGGTATTCAGCTACCGCATTAGAGAAGCCCGAGGATTACCAAATTTCTCTTCTCAAAATAATTGTCGGAATTTATAATCAAATAGATAAAAATGATACGATTAAGAACCATAAGTTGAAAGACAAAAACAAGGACCGAAAGAAAAACGCGAAACTACATCAACATTGTTACGTCTGTTGGTCGCTTAATTATTTTTGTTCATAAAATTTCCCGTGTAGGCTTCAACGACCGGTTAGCATAGTTGGCTAGAGCGTCGTGCTAATTATGCAAATGTCGTGGGTTCGCCCCACACTGCCCTTTATTTGTTGTAGTTTGTATAAGGAAGATTCTTCGGCTTTCTTCCTGATTAATGAAAGCTCCTTAAACTATATTCTTAACATGAGAAAAGGTCAGAAAATACTACAAGAATAGAAAAAGAATATGTTTATAATTTCCATGAAAAGGACTCACTTGAGGAGCATATTACAAAATTAAATACACAGTACAAATAACGTAAACATATATACACCTTTATTCTCTCTATAAATGTTAATGTGTAAGAATTTGATACCCATATATTAGTAAATAAAATTTCCCACATTGGTCGTAACGGCCGGTTATCTCAGTTGGTTAGAGCGTCGTGCTAATAACGCGAATGTCGTGGGTTCGATCCCCACATTGTCCATGAATTTTTGATAAAATTGAGAATGGAAATGGGGAATGTGTCAAAGAGATAACAACCCGACCAAAGAACAGAAAACAGCCCAAGGCCACCAATGGGTTTTCAACACAGCGAGAAAATCTCGCACCCGGAGGCGGGATTCAGCTAGCCACTAAACAAAAATGTGTACTAGTTCTGTGAAAATGGACGTCACACTAAACTCAATATCAACGAACTAAAATTAAAAAAAAACATACAAGACTAACAAAGGCCAGAGGCTACTACCTTAGGACAGGCGCAAAAATGCGGCTGGGTTAAACATGTTTTGTGAGATCTCAACCCTCCCCTATACCTCTACCCAATGTAGAATAAACAAACACACAGCAATACGCACAGTAAAACTCAGTTTAAAAGAAGTCCGAGTCCGATAGTCTATATTATTAAACATTTTCGGCAATGTCCGAGATTAATAAAGTTCTTTAAAAGAAACTCTTAACGTCAGAAAAGGTACAAAGAAGTGGTAGCTTTACATTTTTAGTCTTTTGCATGATTTTCTCGCTTTCTACATTGTCAACTAGAAAATTCGTTAGATAGATGTAAACAATTGACAGTTTCGGCCAAATGAAGTAAAAAATCCATCATTTAGACTTGTGAAAATGACAATCATTCATGCTGATATGTATTTGAAAATACATTTTTCGTATATAAAATGTCCGGTGTAGGTTATAACGGCCAGTTAGCTCAATTGGTAAGAGCGTAGTGCTAATAAGAAGAATGCCGTGGGTTTGACCCCACACTGGACATAATTTTTTGTAGTTAATATTATGGAGATACTTCGGCTTTGTCCCTGATACAAGCAAACTTCCTAAACTATAATCTTAACGTCAGAAAAGGTAAGGAAATACTATACGAATAGGAGAAGAAAATGTTTATAATTTCTACGAAATGGATTCTCAAGTAGCATAGTACAAAATCAAACACTATTTTAGACAAAAAACACAATAGAATACAAATTACAAATAATGTGAACATATATAAACTTTACATCTCTCTCTATATATATGTATATATATATAAAGATAAATGTGTAAAAATATGATACCCATATATAAGTACATAAAATTTCACAAAGTGATCTCAACGGACGATTAGCTTAGTTGGTTGAAGCGTCGTGCTAATAACGCGAATGTCGTTAGTCTATATTATTTAACATCTTCGGCTATGTCCGAGACTAAAGAAGTTCTTTAGACGATAATCTCAACGTCAGAAAATGTATAAAGAAGTAGTAGCTTTAAACTTTAGCATTTTTTTCACGATTATCTCGCTTTTTACATTGAAAATCCGTTAGACAGATGCAAACAATTGACAGTTTTAGTCGAATGAAGAGAAAATCCATCATTCAGACTAGTGAAATGACAATTGTTCATGCTGATTTGTATTTAGAGATATATACTTTCCCGTGTAGTTTCAACGGCCGGTTAGCGCAGTTGGTTAGAGCGTCGTGCTAATAACAGTTAGTCAAATAAAACTATTTGAAGAAATATAGATCACTCTTCTGGTGTCGCAAGAACTGGAAACAGAGATTCAAACAAAATCCTGGTTGTTGGTGATTCAGGTACTGACAGACAAGATGGAATATAGAAAATTTCATGGATATGTCTGGGGGAGAAGTTGGGCTTACTCACACTCAATCCTAAAAGTCAAAAACGAATAAAAGGAATAAAACTAGATATATGTCTCGGTATTTATACTCTTGTCATTGTGTTATTGTTCTATGGTCATTTTTGTAATTTTGTCTTTCATTTTTTGCTGATGTACTTTGTCTATAGAGTGTCTTATATACCATTTTGTTTTTCTTTGTTGAAATAGTTATTTATTTTTATAGTGATTAAGATTATAACCCAATATTGACTGCTGTATCCCAATTTTTGACATTTTTACCAATTATGTCTATTTGTTTTGCTCACACATTCTTGTCAATATAATGGAATTCAATGCAACTGTCATACAAGTGAGAGGTTTAACTAGCTATAAAACCGGGTTTAATCAAGCATTTTCTACATAAGGAAATGCCTGTACCAAGTCAGGAATATGACAGTTGTTTTCCATTCGTTTGATGTGTTTGAGCTTTTGATTTTGCCATTTGATAAAGGACTTTCCGTTTTGAATTTTCCTTGGAGTTCGGTATTTTTGTTATTTCACTTTTTCTTAATGTGAATAATGTTAAACCGAGAGTACGACCATCGCATTATGACAAAAACATGTTTATAATGGATCATCTTAAAACAGATATTTTTTACTTGCAATTATGGTTTAAATTGTGAGTCATAACTTGAATGGTATTAGACGTTGGATAAATGTTTATTATTGGCAATTGAGAGTCGAGAGTCTAGAGTTGAGGAGTTTAATTAGGGGATCAAATTTATTTATTGATGTACTCGGCACATTATTAGTTTTTATAACAGATAAAATTTTATTTTGAGTGAAGGTCTTTCCATCTTTTCTTCCATGAGTATTGGTTGGTTAGTTAGTTGGTTAGATGTTGATAAAATGTTTGTATAACATCAAGTGACAAATTATACATAGATTTGTTGGTTTGTATGGTTGGTAATTATGTTTATATAATGGATTGATTGGCATTTGGCAAAATGTCAAATTTGACGAATTTTACATTCATTAATCTATCAATTGCTTTGGTTTGTGTTCTTGATTGAATTAATGATTGATTGATTGTTTGAAAGTTGTATAAATGCAAGAAGTTGCATATTTCAAATTGATTAATTCATTGATTGATTGTTATTTTACCCACTGAAAAATACAGTATGTGCTAGAGAATGCCTTGACCTAGAATCAGACATTACAATGTGACCTGTGACACAGTTTCTGTTGATGTGAAACAATAATACCAAGTTTCATTAGTATCCTTCAATTCATCTGCATGTTATAGGCAGACACAAATTGCAAAACAGACGAACAGATCCAAGGATAGAATTTTCAACAAAAAATTCCATGCAAACTCATATTATCTATACCAAATGATACTTAGCTAAGAACCATTATATCTCACTTATTCTAAACAACATCACTGAATCTACTAAATGTGTGTGTTTTTTATAAAGAGCATTCACTACATTGTATATAAATAAATAAACAGGTTAAAAGATTGCTTTATTTTGGTTGTATAAATAGTATAAATAATTTATTTAACAAAAAATATACAAAAAGTAAGGACAAATTAAATAATAAATAATTTTAAAACTTTGTACATCTAATTATCTTACATAGAAAAAATATAATAATTTTGCATAAATCAATCCAGAAAAAGATAACTTTCACATGATCCAATACAGAAACTTGCAACTTAACTATTTGTGCATGCATTGCAGATATAGACTTATTTCCTGTCACATTTTGGGCAACATTTTTTATCAAGGCAACTTTCTAATAAAAACATTTATATTTTTATCAGAGAAGAAGTTAGATGTAGTCCTATATGTTAGTTTACTGCTTAATTTCAATAACACAAACAATAATTCTACATGTACCTATGATGGAGATCAGATATTTCTACCATTTTTATAAAGTCAATGCATTTAACATTAAGTTAAAGAAATGCAGAGACTTACCAGATAAAAAAAATTAGAGGACTTTAAAAACACAATAACTTCATTGTCATAGTTTGTGTAACTCTGCAGAATAGTGTTAAAACAGTTTAAATACAAAAAATATAAATATTTACAAGTCTTTATATGACATAACTTCATCAGACAGACAAAACTAGTCAATTAAGAATATAATTTAGTCACCATTGCTTATTGTACATGTATATTGAAATAAATTTTCTTGGGATAGAAGATCTTTTATGTTTCCAACAATGAAATTAAATACTTTAAATAAAAAGTTCTCAAAATTAAAGGCAAACCACAAAGAGTTCCAAATGAACACACAGATGGGGTGGAACAATTAATATCTATTTCATAAGAATAAAAATAAGATTTAAGATGAGAAAGTCAATTAATCTGGTTGTTGAATTATACACCTACAAACGCTACAGAAATTATAATTAGATGATTGTCCTCTATGCCAAATACTGTCACTTTTTTATGTACTTGCTGAAAGAATATAACTTTCCAACAATTATTTGTTTCATTTAAAACTTCCATACTAGATATTTTATCGTTTGCAGATTTTCATCATTGTAGTATTTGTAATCTGATGGTAACTGAAGAAATTGTGAAAAATAGCATTAAATGGTTCCCTGAATGGTTTAGTTTCTATGTTTATTTGTAATTATAAATCTTTATTTGTTATTATAAATCAACTTTAAATAGTTGTGATCTTGCAATACTGTTGTTCTTATAAAATATTGTACAGCAATCTATGGGTCATTTTGCCAGTAATTCTCTGTAATACCCAATGAATAAATCAAATGTGAGGAACATGCAAAAGTTACATGTATCAATGCCCAAAAATACCAGGTTTCTTTAATGCTTACTAAAATCTATGACCAAATATTGAACATGATGTGGAATTGCACTTTGATGTGAACAAAAAAAAAATAGTGCTAATTGAGTAAGACTAATGAAGTATATACAATAAAAAAACTACAAATATGCAATCTTATCAGCATTTATGTAAAAAAATCACTCAATATGTTTTAGTCGGATGTTGTTTTATTTTATACAAAAAATATATAATGTAAAATTTCAATGTTTTAAAAATTCAAAAGCTCAGTTCATAGATTTGATACTCATCAAACACACAATATTTACTTTCAAATGCATGTAATGTCATTAATGAAATTTACATATATAAATATATATATATATATTACATGTACATGATTCATAGATTTAAATTCATTGGAATGAAATTTACTTACCTGTATAAACTGGATGTGCATGATTCAAAGTTGAGGTTGGATTTAAATGTACATGTGATGCTGGCAGGCATTAATTTCCCCCATAAGTTGGTTAATTCAACATTACATAATGAAATGCATGCCAGTACTTACATAGTATCAGAAAAGCAAAATTACCAGACATGACAGAATAAAATGCAAGTGCTCGATTCAATGGAGAATTTTTTTAAATGCATTGATAAATTAACATGTACAATGCAAGTGCATTGATAAATTAACATGTACAACGCAAGTGCATGATTCAATTTATTAGTGAGACAAGATTTTAATTCATTGATTAAATTAATAATTCATCTAAATGACATACCATAGTATGCAATGTATATACATTTATGCTGCATGTGCATGATTTATATTGGACATTGGAATTCAATTCATTGAAATAACATATACAATGTACACAAATATATGCTGCACATACATGATTCATATGGGACATTGGATTTCATCTTACAGATTTAGAATTATTTTTCTATTTTAAAAACTTTGTATCAAAATAAGAACAACAATTTTATATCTGTATTACATAAAAACAGTCAAGTGAAATATAGTCCAACATAAATTCTTTAAAATTATACATTTTACAGAGGTATAATTTGTGCCACTTTCCAGGACTTTAGACATAACACTGACCTTGTGCTGTTGAGAAAAATATCTTTTTATTGTTGTCATTGCAATGGCCACAACACTGAGTATGTTAAAACTAAATCATATAAAAATAAATGATCATTTAAGTACAGAAAAAATTGTCATGGTTTAAAGATATGGAAGACAAAATAAGTACATGAAGATCAAAAATAAATATGCAGTTACATTTTGTGCATACTTCTTGAAAATATACACTGTACATGTATGACATGTATGTTAATAGATGATCTGACATAGATAATAAAACAAAATACATGTTATATATTACTAAGGTTCTATTAATAATCAAATTCATTTACACCCTGTTGAGTCCAATATAAATTTTGTTCATTATGGCAATCTTTTATCAGAGACTTCAATCACATCTTGTAAGACTTGAAAGTGTTACTAGCTTTAAATTCACATTACTCTTTTTTTTATCTGAATACTTAATGACACAGAGAATTATACAAGTTAAGAAGAATTTTCATTGAAAGAAAACATACTTAACTAGTAATAACATCAGTACGACTTACAGAGAATTCAATAACATCATCAGTCGCTAACTGTTCCGTCACAGAACCTATATATTTGTTCTGAATGTTTTTAGAGGTAATGAATCCATTCTGGTGAACTTTACGTGACCTGACATTGTGATTGTTGTCTTTTGTAGCTACAACCTCCGACTTGTCGCTTATGTTATTGTCTTTAAGCACACTATGCTCATCAGCAGAACTTGCCTTCCACTTTTTTATTTTTTTAGTATATTTCTTACAAGCAAAGGTTAAAATATTGACCATGAATAGCCAACTCAAAGCATACAATGCAGACCCACCAATTCGTCCTAACCAATCCGTGTCCTGATTAAAGTAAGAATATAATAAATTAGTACCGACTCCAATTCTAAGACCTCCAAAGAGTAACATAAATGCCAAGTCTACAATTTCTCCAAGAATTGTTTCATATTTTCCTGTCTCTCTAAGAAACCACCGTAACTGTAACAGTGGATTCGATGCCTCACTTCCTATGATACAAGCAATCAACTCTGTTCCATACCAATGTTTTATTGCACAAACAGATAGACCAGCTATACTCAGTATATGGTGGATTAACATAGCCGGACCTACAATAAAAAAGTAAATCATTGAGGTAAAATCATTATTCTAATCATTAGCAATTATAGTTAACATAAAAGTATCACTGCATCACATGTGATTCTATATTTTTTCTTGACTCGAGACAGTATATATATATATAAAATGTTTAAACTTAGTCAGGAGTAGAGAAATACATGTGTTTAATGTAACATAAAATACTGTGATAGACTCTGTTAATCTCACGATGTTTAGAAGATATACAGGCAAACTTTTAAGGTTAATCAGACGTCTTATTTATTTTTCATGGCAAATACATATAGCTGCAAATGATCGGTATAGATTTTTGCTAAAATAAGCAAACTTTATGCAGAAATGAAATTTTTAAAAACATATGGTGAAATTAAAATTAAGAGTTTCCATCAATTCAAAACTGTATAAAACTATGTTATATCAGGGGAGATAACTCAAGATTAATTTTTATAAAAGAATGCACTGATTTTGCCATTTGATAAAGGACTTTCCGTTTTGAATTTTCCTTGGAGTTTGGTATTTTTGATATTTTACTTTTTACACAACATTCAGCTCGAAAAAAATCTCTGTGACAAAAAGTATTCGTTATACTAGTATCAAATTGTAAAATATCAGCTGCTTAAGGTGGTACCTAACACTACAGGGAGATAACTCTGTAAAATATCAGCTGCTTAATACAATGCTAATTTGTTGGTCTGATCTCTACCTTCAATCACCAAAAAGTTTCATCATGTGACTTACATACATGTACATGTACATCTGTCTTTTCATGATATCCATATGTAGCAAACTATATAATCTATGCTTATATTGTAAGATACCATACCTTCAGTTTGGTAATACATGCACCATGACATATCAAAGAGGAAATATCCCAGACATATACATATCGTCTGCTGCTGTAATGGTGTAGATCTTCCACCTGAAGCAAAGATAAAAAGGCCCTTTACAAAAGATACTCACTTAAGAATCACAATTTAAGGATTCACTGATATCAAAGGTAGTTCATCAATCAATTTTTGCACTAACAAGTTTTTCCTGTAATATTTCTTTGTAGGAAATAGTTGGCCTTCACATATTAGATGAATGCGTGCAATGCATGTAAGCTATAATATTGGGGTAACAAATTCATAATATCATTATGATACATTGTTTTAAACTTTATGCCATTTAGCCTAATTGGGCAACAGAAACAAATATACAACTGTACCTGCATCCGTGAAAGGCCATGGCCCCTGAACAAATGCACACCACAATCCGAGCCCTGTAACAGTCAAGGCATGAAGTGCTGTCACTAATCTAACGTTCCATTCATAACTCCTTTTATAATTGACAAGACACAAAGTAAAATACAGTGTACACCAAATACTGGAGTATAGAGCAACTGTTAACATTACATTAGGGGAATCTATTTGTTCTGGGTCTTCCATCTTTTGATACCTGAAAAATATGAAAAAAAGGCTAAAATATTAAGTTTAGTTTAAGCATTGTGTTAAGTGCCATTTTCACATAAATGTATCCGAGTTAAAATGATTGAATACGAAATAGGTCTTAATTTTTTTACCGTTCATTTATCTATATAATTATGTAGCTCCTAATGTATTCAAGTACAAATACTGAATGTACTTATCCTTCAATTTCAATTTTTGGGTTTGAGCATTCCCTAATCCAAATCCTCACGTTTAAAATGCATCAACTTCAAGCACTTCTGCTTACAATACATGTACATTTTCAAGTTTGGATGCTCAAATGAATGTTTATTACAAGTTTGGATGCTCAAATGAATGTTTATTACAAGTTTGGATGCTCAAATGAATGTTTGATTTATTTCTTTTACAACATTTCTATATACATTGTATGACTTACATTTTGTACCAGTACACCATTTGACCAAATTTGAAAAGTGAAATGATAACTTTTTACTGTATCTAAATCTGCACCTGACTATACCACAGTGAAACCTGTCTAACCTGAACCACTCAGAGACCAGATTTTGTTTGGAAAAGACATTTCTTTGGTTTACAAAGTTTCAACTTTTAACTACTAGTATTACTGAATATTTTTAAATTGTCCAGAAAAACAGGAAAATAACGGAAATAAAACTTTATAACTTAGGTGCATTCAAAGAGTTTTTCTGGATTTCAAATTTAGATAGGTTTGCAGAATACATATAGTTTGGTTAAGATAGGTTTCAATGTATACTAAATTATCAATTTTTATCTTCAAATGTCAGATAATATGTACATATGTATTTAACCTGTAGTCTACACATATACAAATTTAAACTGTAAATAATGTTTATACAAGTACTAGTAATTCACACATTAAATTTTCCAAGTAATTGCCTATAAAAAGTTGAATAATAATGCTTTGAGAAATAGACAGCAATATGTTTTATTTCTTTTTAAAGTCACTGTGTCAGACTGTCAGATCAGAGATGAAAGTAGGAGATGGTCATACATGTTGATAACAAGTGGTAAAAATAGATATCTTTGAGAAAGAGGCTATCTCTGAATGGACCTGACTAATAATATGGCCCTGATTTCATTTTAGCTTGTTAAATGTTTTCTTCAGACAGGACACTCTCAAATTTGAGTCATTTTGTAGATAAGCAGAAAAATGAGAAGTGTTACAAACAAGAATATTCAGTATCATTTATTAGTAATTAGTAATGATATCTTTATAAACTGGATCATGTCATATAATGTAAATATTATTATATGTATGGAGCTTGATTATGCAAGTTAGACATTGCAACCTTGATTGTCTTACACCTTTTATATTGTTCATGTTCAAGGTAGTCAACACTCATACAGACTAAAAGAGAATTATGTTTAACTCAATATTACTGTAATACAAATATTTACACTCAAAATAAGGAGCATTTATATTCATGACCTCCAATATATATATATATTCCTTACTGTGTGTACATCATGTCATGCATGTGAGAGGGTGTTGATGCATGGGGTTTACAGAATAAAGAATAATAGGCAAAATAAAATAAAGAATAGAGAAAAATGGGGGAAAAAATAATGGATAGAGAAAAATGGGGGAAAAAAATAAAGAATAGAGAATAATGGGGTGCTAAAATATATAGAATAACTGTAAAAATTAAAGAATTGGGTAAAAATTTACTGATTCGAGAAAAGGACAATGTCAAGAATACAGTTATCAAGTAATTACAGAATAGCCATTATTTCTAAAGATAAAGAATAATGAGCGAAAAAATTAAAGAATACAGAAATGAAGAACCCCCCATCCATACCCTCATATGAAAAACAAATAAAAAAAAGACCAGATTTGAGAAATTGAGAGTATACAAGGAAAAAAAGATCAATGTTTTTTTCCTACCTTCTGCCCTAAAAATATGGTTATGTCTATGAGGTTGAATTTTTTTATATTTTTCTTATCAAACAAGTTATTGAAAATCAACATTTGCCCCTTTTTGGCCTAAAATACTTAAACAGTTAGGGCCATAATTCTCAAATCAATCCCAACTTTCCTTTTGTGGTATGGAACCTTGTGGTAGAATTTCATAGAGATCCATGCACCAGTTTGCATACACTTACATGTATATTCAAGTTATCGTCTGGAAATTAAATGTCTTTGGATGACGACTACATCGCCATACCATATAAAAAAGAACACAAATTTAGCCATTGTAAACTAACATTTTAACCTTTTTTTGTCTCACTCTATTAAGAAGGCAATGCATTTATTTATTACAAAAAAAATTTATATAGAGATGATTTTTTATGAATTTCTACAAAAACAATAAACAATAAAAACAATATATGTTATGTAAAAGTGATTCCAAAAAGGTAATTTTGAGTGTATTATGGTTGAAAATAAATGGGGAATGTGTCCATGCATATGGGACACAGATGATGCCCCTGCTTGCATAAAACATTATAAACATGATAAAGGGACATTACTCAAGAATGGTAAAAGCGAAATTACCCAAATTTGTACTTGATCTTAGTTTTGTAGTAATAAGCATTTGTATATAAGTTTCATAACATTTGGTTGAGGCAAACTAAGTAAGAGAACGGAAACGAAAAATTCATCAATTTTTTCATTTGTAAAGGGGCATAACTCTAGAACAGTAAAAGTGACGCCACCAAAATTCAAGCCCGATCTGTGTTTTGTGGTAATAAGCATTGTGCATAAGTTTCATAACATTTGGTTGGGGCAAACTAAAGTAAGAGAACAGAAATGAAAAATTTAGCAATTTTTCCATTTTGAAGGGGCATAACTCTAGAACGGTAAAAGTGACACCACCAAAATTCAAGCTTGATGTGTGTTTTGTGGTAATAAGTTAAGCATCGTGTATAAGTTTCATAACAATTGGTTGAGGCAAAATTCAACTAAAGTTAGAGAAAGAGAAAGGAAACCAATTTTGGGATGTACGGATGTACCGATAGGTACATACGTACATACGGAAAGACGGACGTACAGACAAACATGGGTAAAACTTTATGCCCTCTCCGCTATGGCGGGGGAATAAATAAGTTCATATTGATTGTGACACATTAACTTATTACTTGTTACTTTATTTTATTCCTTATCATAATTAAAATTAATAGACCACTTTCGATTTCGTTGCTTTTCTGCCAAAAAATTTGGTTTTAGTGAACATCATTTGTGCGTTTAAGGGCATCGCCACTTCCTTCCCAAGCTGAGCCAGTGCTTGAAAAAATATGACGCTACATTGTACATTGCACGAATTATTCGGCAAATTAAATTGTTATAATTGATAATCAGCACTGCTGTCATTAGATAATTGTGATTAAGTAACTACGGAACAAATATTATTTCTAATCTATCCAGCATAATGACGATCACTAAGATGCTTGCATTTTATGAACTTTAATGGGGAAGAGATACAGGTGGGCCCCTCTACATTTATCTGGTAAATGACATCATAAAGGTGTGCATAATTGATGAACTTTTCCTGTAAAGGACATTACTCAAACGTGGTCTATTGAAACAAAATTTCAGTTTATATATAAAAATAAATGTTTATTTCTAAGACTATATTTTTTCATTAGATTAAAATGATATAAATCAGTCTGGTCGTGAAATTGGAAAAAAAACAATGACAATAATTAAATTCAAATTTGTAATTCAACAAGATTTTTCTCTACGAATACAACATTTTCTCAAATTTGAAAGGTCTTCCCATATGCATGATATATGCCTTAGAACTTTTGGTCCTTTCTTCCACAGTAAACCCCTTGTACATGTACCAGCACCAAAAACATGAGTAAAACAGGGAAATTTGATATAACAACACAATATACATGTACATACACAGATATGTCTAGTCAAGTACATTTGTAGGATAAGAATTTGGTATTTATAAAAACTTAAAAAAAAGGCACGCCTTATTTTCCCAGATGGTATTGTAGTATATTTTACATGCATGATAAAGCAGCTGGCTCATTAAAGTTAGTTCAAAGAAAAATATGAATATTCAACTTACAATACTACATATTTTAATTGAGATAGAAGATTACTTTTTGCGATGAAAATTCGTAAGGGTTCCGCGGAACCCAGTGTCTTACCTACTTTTGCTGTTATCTATGTTTTCAGTGTGATAGGGGAATGCACATAATAGATTTACAGTTAAGTATTAAAACGTTTGAAATGTATGAAAAAAAATTATACTTGTAAAAATGAATACAGTATGCAATCAAATCTATAGATTTATAAAAGAGTTGAAACATAAATTTATTGAATGAACAAATGATAAAGAAGATAATTTTTACATTGTTTGATGATTTATCCCTTAATTCAGACGACGACTGAAAGTAGGATCGCTATGTCAACAAAAATGGGGGAAAAATTATTAAAAAAATTCCTCTAGATACTATGTTTTGATTGTAAGAAGCTTCTGTCCAAGTTTGGTAAAAATCCAGGATGGTTTAAAATTTATGAATCTAATAAATGTTTTAAAAACTTTAACTGCAGACTGTATGTAATGTTAACTGGAAGAAAAACTAAGTCCATTTATTAGTAATATATGGAAAAACAGGAAATAAATTTTTACAAAATTTCCTTCTAGATACTAGCTTTTGATCATAAACAAGCTTCTGTCCAAGTTTGGTAAAATTCCTGGATAGTTTAAGAAAGTTATTAAAATTTTAAAATCTTTAACCACAGAGTGAATATAATGTTAACTGGCAGAAAAACTAAGTCCATTTATAAGTAAAATACGGAAAAACAGGAATTTTTTTTTTACAAAATTTTCTTCTGGATACTATCTTATGATCATAAACAAGCCTCTGTCCAAGTTTGGTAGAAATCCAGGATAGTTTAAGAAAGTTATTAAATTTCAAAAACTTTAACCACAGAGTGTATTTTTGTTGATGCTGCCGACGACGACGCCGACAGAATGTAGGATAGCTATGTCTCGCTTTTTCGACAAAAGTCGAAGGCTCGACAAAAATGGCAATTGTTTGGTCCTTCTTTTCTTCCATACAAAAATATTCGATGGGTTTTCAAAAAGGTCTAGTTTCCTAAATTTAAAGGTTATGGAATGTTAACTTAGCTAGTTTAGGTGTATGTACAATTTGTGTTTCATAGAGAGGTCAAAAGGAAATGACATAAATACAAACGTCCATGTGCTACTTAATTGAAAAGTCGTAATATAAAATATTTAATATGATATCCAGAATTTAATTGATTACTGTATGCAGATTTGTATGCATACAATGTAGTTTGGTCCCAATCCTTATAATTTTGAGATTCTCTATCAATCTTTATAAGCTCCATCCTTCAATAAATTTCTAGGGAATAAACTGTATACGATGTAGGATGCTTTTAACAGAATTTCTTACCTTATAAATATCTTAATTTTTAAACAAATTCAAGTATATTTATACTCAATACTCAATGTATCATTAATATTACAATGTAAAAAAGATTTGGGGTACATGTACATGTGTATAAATGTATTTTAATGAGACAGAAGCTACATTGTAAATCAATTGCTCAGATTAAACTTCTGTTATCTACCATGTTGTCTACAGTATCATTGTAACTTAGGAATATGTTTCAAATGTATATGTTTAACAATGACCCAACACCCTTTATGAGTGAACAGAATTTCATATATTTCTATTATCCTTTTTTTTTTATTTTGATTTTCTGGAAGGTACATGTACATTGTATCAAAGCAAATATATTTTAAAAAGCCTTTAAGGTGTTATAATTTTTAGTAGTAAATAAAACATAACATGTAGTTCCTCAACTGAGATTTTATACCTTTTATTTCTTTTATAGTTAAGCTCTCCCTCAGCATACAGATGAAAAAGTGTCTGTCACTGATGTCACCTATAGTATATAGTGTTACATGTTGTAGGTTTGTAGGTTCCGGTATCTGGTCCGTTCGCTCCTAGAACACATTCCCACCCCACACGTTCGCCCCTGGGTTCATTCGCACCCCATTTTTATTCAAATACAGGTTGAATTATTAGATGTTTTTAAGATGTACATGTATATATCCAAACATCTATATTTTCATAAATAAAAATTTGTGAATCTTCTACATGAAATATTTTTTTTTGTGATAAGATGATAAATTCTTAAATCTAAATTATTTATATTTATGATTATTGTTATATAAATGTGTTTGAAAATCATGATTGTTGTTATAACTATAGCTTTGGTGTAGTTACCCCAGAGACATATACTGTTTATATATGTCTCTGGTTACCCTAAATATTTTAGTGTTCATTTTTAGTTGCTGTCATGGCAATGTCATTGTAATGAGTTTGAAAGCCGTTTTATATCTTCTGCCTTTCTTTTACAATTCACAAAACACTAAAGGAAACCTGTTTACCTTTTTAGAATGTCACTTCATTTTAAAACAATAAAAAAACCAACTTATTATCTTTATTTTATAGCATTATCCGCAACTCATTTCACAAAAAATCTTACGAGAAAAATTTACATTTATTATTCTCTTTTGATAAAATTATAGCATATATATGTAAGATACACTAACTAAATATTATTCAAAACAATAACTTTAAAAAGGGTGCGAACGTCAAGGGCGAACATGAATGGGAGCGAACATGATATTGGGTGAACAACCCGGATTCATGGGTTCCATGCCACTCCCCCCCCCAAAAAAAAACAAACATGTTTTAATCCCCATTCTGTACGTTAAAGCGTTCGCCAGATGTACAATGCAGTAAACAGCAAAATTTTGCGTAGTATAATTGATCACATTGATTGTTTAACCGGTTAATAAATAGCCACAAATTATTTGGCACAAACCCGGCAAAATGTTGTAGCAACAAGTTCCCTAGACTTAGGTCTGTTGAGAACAAAACAAATGCAACCACACTTTAAAATGTCTATAATACGTCACATTTTAATATGCTCAGATACCAGGTAAAATAAATCAGAATATCAATAACTATAATAAGTCGCTTTAACATTTGTTAAAATATAAAATAAAGTTATAAACAAACATGACATGATCACCCACCAGAATCCGGAAGTGCAACCTTTTCCAACAGGGAAAAATTCGAGCTTTTCTAAAATTTTGATTCGTTGATATTCAATACACTATATTTATTTCGCTTTTAATTTTGTATTCCAAAAATAAATTTGAACAAATTTCAAATAAAATCTTTGTATAAAGGATAGTTGATGCAAGATAAATACATTTCCTTTTTCATTTTTTCCCTTCATTTCGGATGCAGTAAATATTGTGACGTAACAATGTTTACACTAGTTACCTGAGAAAATCAGCTGATCGAACCGTAAGTACATGACCGCGAAAATACAAAATAAAGACAGTAAGTTGTTTCACATTGGCGTATCAAGGATTTCAGACTAAAGGGAAAACTAGACAAATCATTTTACACGATTAAAAGTGAACGGCATACAGTACGATAATTAAATGAATATTTGGTCTTCTAAAACGTGAGTGGTCCGTGACAGTTGAACTTGGCATATGATATATATATATATACGAGAGCGACTGAGGGTCCACCAAACTATACTAACTGTTTTTGAAGTATAATCTAGGCATTATTAGATAGGGTGGTTTCCCTCCCCTGACTCACTGTGAGACTATATGATGTCATGATGAATTAACGTCACGGTTATATTTAAAGCCAATTATTATTCTATCCATCCTGTATGGGAAAGGATTTATATAGGCTGAGCCTTTATCCAATCCCTTTGTTTGAATATAATTGATTTAAACAATAAAATCTTTGAATTGAATTGATATATATATAGCGAGTAGATAACTGTATAGTTATATGTGTTATAATGGGTGTAGTCAGTATAGGCACTATACTAAGATATAATATTTTAGATTTCAAAGGTTGTTCCCAAGCGCATCGTCGCTTGCCGAACCAAAATGTCTTCAGCAGAACAGTTTTACTGGAAGAGGAAGCTTCCAAGAGGTTTCCAAAATCAGCTTGAAATCATTGGCCGTGCAATCATTAGAGGACAGCCTGATAACGTATACGAATTCATTGCTGCTTATTTGGAAGGGAAGTTGGTTGCCAGGAATGGTAAGACTATGTTTACCAAAAAACAATTTTGATTTTCATTATTTTTCCAATTCAATATCAATCACTGAGAGGTATTTAAGTGCATATATATATATACATTGTATTCGTATTTTTTGTAGTTTTCACATTGCATTAACCATATTTGTTACACATCCCCGATCCGCTCTTAATCCGAAACGTAATCATATAAGAGCGAGATCATATTTTTAATTCTACAACAGCTAAGACTATTGTTAACTATCAATATCAATTTTAGCAATAAATCCAAAATTCATTTTTCCAAAATAAATCTATTGATGCCAACCCGGGTCGAAGGTTCTACCCTACCGAAATACCCTAATGAGAAATATACGATTTTGAAATCATACCATTTACTTGAATATAACTGTTAAGGTATTAAGGTACAAAAACGTGTTGTTGCACATCAAAGGAATGATTACATTAATTCTAATGCTATGTTTATTTATTTGATTTTCCAGAAACATTATTCATTTTCATAGTTTTTCATGTAAACTAACCATGATAATTCCTGTTGTAGCTGAACTGAAAGTTTTACCAGATATATCATACCTAGAAAAAATTCAGAAGAAACAGACAGAAGCAGGTTTGTAAATTTTTAAAAAGTAAACGTCACTTTATGTAAGAAAGTTAGTAAGATAATTTTTCTCTTATCAAAACAGGTCAAAACGGCACTAACCTGAGAAAAGAATGCGTTTTATTGAATGAATTAATTCGAATTGGTCGTCATTTTTTCTCCGATTGGCTGAGTTTATTTTTTTACTCTCAGAGGGGACGAAGAGGGCGTACGCTTCCCCCTTTGATCGCCCCCAAAAAAAATTATATCATGTTTTTCACGATTTATATGATTTTCTAGCATACAATTTTATATAATCCCCGTTTTATGGATTAACGCCCCCTCTCAAAGATCCTGGATCCGCGCCTGCTCGTCCGATATTCCGACTTCATCTAAAGCTATAGCTTTTTAGCTTTATCGGATCCTGACGAAAATTCGGGGGGAAAAGACGAGATCAATTTTTATTTTGATAATTTTCAGATTTGTCGATCCAGAATTATGACCATTAGCAGCATATTTCGGGAAAACTAATAGGTGCTTTCTCTTTTAATTACGAATATTTTACACAAAAATTTGATTAAAAGAAGACGGGGTCCACTTTGACTTAGACAATTTTCAGATTTGTTGTTCCTAGATAACAGTACTTTAATTGTTAAAAATTAACCAATTTAAATGTCTCATGAAAAGTCGAATTTGCTTTAAACGATCTTTACCAAAATTTTACACCATGGTTAGTTTTATGGAGACAAATTATCTTTCGATTTTTTTTCAAATGTCAGATTTGTCATTGCCTAATTCTACCCATTGACAAAATTTAAGTAAATTTAATGTAATTTTCCTCTGGAATAAAGATTAAACTGTCGCATACAGTGGGAAAAGATGATGGTTTACACATTCAACATACCACCCGCTATATTGCTTAATCATAAAATGAATGTAAACGAACTACTAAATTAAACAAGAAAGTTTAAAGGTGACTTTTTCATCCAAGCACGTATAAACAGATATACCCCCAAGAACATACAGTAATGACACCAGGTTATAGTATCTCTTCATTTTGAATTATGTGACAGCTTGTTTGTACTTTTGGACGGTTTAAATTTGTTATAAGGTTTGGAAGTCCATGGTACATCGCTACATATAAGTTGATCGCAACAATGTATCAGTTTCAAAACCCATTGTTGACATTTAAACTCTGGCATAAAGCCCACTTATGTACTATGTCAACCTGTTCACCATTATTTACGCTCAATTTGTCCTGTTCCTGGCTTTGAAGCTTATTGTCTGTTGGTGCATTTATAACATGCTTACTCTGTCGATCTATCTGGTCCCACATATTTTGCTTATAGTTCATGCGATTCCGATTAGTTAACCTCTATTTTTCTGGTTTATTCCTGGAATTATGAGACGTTTAATGAATACAGGTACACTTCCTTCTTTTTTAATACCGTATTGTGATCGACCTGTTTATTAAATGTTCGAAATGCATTTTTTGGTGAACTTTTTTTGTTTAGTTGTTTCATTTTTTGGTCATTTGCCCCTACATCTTCTTTCATTTCAGTCAAGTTCAATTTCAAAATAGATTTTAGCCAGAGTTATACAAAAATTTTACCCAGAAATTTTATGAATTGTTCATTTGTGAGAAGTCGATTAAGTTTGGATTGGTTGAATGCTGGTTGTATGGTTGCTTACATCTCACAGATGCATTTGGAACGCGCTTTCCTCGGATAGTAAAATGATTCACTTCACAACTATCACAAATTCTCTTTGAACCATAGTATAATGGAATTACATAATCATTTTCTGTACACATACAATTTACGTCGATACACTGAATGCATGTTTTATATATATTCTGTTTTGTTCCGTTTTGCCGTTCCGGAGATATGCATGGGAGATAGTAAAAATGTAGAAAAAAATGACATTTATTTGGAAAAGTATTGCTTATATTAGAAGAAATTTTTGTTACATTCCCTCAACCTTTACATGCTATTTATTTGACTTATTAGTTACCTAAGATATACATTTAAGTTTGAATGTAGTAGATATAATGTTCCTTTTCCGATTACATCGATATGCGGATGCACTTGATAAAAATAAAAATCTGCACATGTATACACACACAGTCTGATTAACGTATCTTCCAGCTTTTTGTTTTCCCTTTGGTTCATCATACTTTGACTCTTATTATTGGAGTGTCTGTCATTTCATGCATGTGGGATAAATTTGTTACACGTGTGCCAGATACCACAGCAAGTCACTCGATGAACGTGCGAAGGGGAAAGTTTTACTGATAGATCATTGATTGTTAAGATATTGTCTAAGAAGTTAATATTAGATACAGTGTATGATATCGTAACCAACTTTATAAAAAGAGGATAATTTAACTTAAAATGGGAGGAATATTTTCAAAGTTTCGTTCAGGAGGTGAGTAGTTAATTGACACACATGTATATGGTCGTAACAATAACTGAGACTGTACCCGTTTTACGTCAATATTATATTAAAAAAATAGGCAATACTTTCAATGACCATTAAGAATAACATCAAGGAGCGACCACTCGAGGTCCTCATTATTGGGTACTCATAGTCGTTTATCATTCTGTCGACATGTACTTTTTCTAAAAGGATCTTACATGTCGATCTATAAGATATTAGTATTTTTTTATGAATGAAATTAGCCTGGCTTGGTTTTCTTAAATGTCAGACGGGGATTAGGTTTATTTGATTAGTTTTTTATTTACTGACTTGATTAAAATGTTATCTTAACATATGTACTGAATTTAGATTGATCACAGGTTAACGTGAGATATGAGTTGTGCACACAAAGATTTTCGGGACCTTTTTGTTAAGTGCACGTTTGTATGACTAATGTCTGAGGAGACAATCGTTACCATCTGTTATACATTATGTTATGTCTATATGAAATAAGATGATTCAATATACAATATATTATATAGACAACACAGACAGCCTCATGAAATCGGAGTTTTTTTTAATTTTTCTGCTGGTCAGATTTGCTGTCATGTTTTTTGATACTATCCCTGATTCCATCCTAACACTTTCTTTCACGTGTTGCCTCATTTTGAATTCTTTGAATTCTTTCTTTCTGTGTCTGTTATCTGTCTGTAATTTCTTCAACACATTAGAACTTAGTCATCATACACTAATGTTGTTATAAAAACACGTGTAATGATGATGTACTTGAACCAAGTATGCGAATTCCGATTGGTAATACGGTATATAGTTTTTAAGGGTCGTTCTTCACCGATTTATATTGTACTATTAAAAAAAGGTAATAAAATTGATTGAGTCAAGCAAAGTATTTCGGTTACTAACATCCTTGATACAATGAATTTAATTAACCAAAAGTCAATTTCTTTATACCGTAATTTAATTAACCAAAAGTCAATTTAAGTTTGGAGGTTTGAACTACAATGGTAAGGTGTAAAAGAACAATAAACGAATACCAAATTTGTTTTGCATCTTCATCCAGAAAAAAAACATTTCAATGAACTAGGATTCCCATTTCAAGTTTTTTTGTGGTCATTTTGCCAATAATACTGTCGAAAACCAAACATGTAATTTCAATTTTTACATGTTATTTTCAACTTTTAGAGCTTAAACTAATTACTGTTCCCTTCTTGAAACGCTATCCATAAAAAAGGCAAATAATAGATAGACATATCTGGGCAAACCTCCCAAGGCTTCCCATGAGAACCCAACATAGAGTAAAATATCGTTCGGAATCCCCGTTTGATAAAATGTAGAGAATTCCGAACCAAGCATATCTAGGCGGTATTCGCCTATAAAGACAACCGAAAGACAAATATGTAGCATGGAATTTATATGTCATTTGCATCCATTTCAACCCAATAAAATCTGTATGCTCATGCTGAAACGTGTCTGGTCATTCTCAATAATATCGCCGAAATTGAGCACGTTACGTAAAATTCATATTTCGTAAACTATTTGCAGGTATGTTAAGCCTCAAATATCCCTCTTTGGGTCCTATTGTGATAAAAATCGTAAATGGGTTTCACGTACCCAGCCTAAATTGCAACTATAGGTCAAAAATGGACAATTACATTGTATATAAAAAAAAAAACTCATCAAGTGTTAGTAAGTACTTAATACAAAACTGCATATACAAATCAGCCAGATTGTCTTCTAGAAAGAGTGGAAATGTAGCAGACAACTATCATTTTACTGATTTTTTTGTTGTCCCAAGGCTGGTAGGAAGTGAGAGGGAATAATCTAACCTGATATTTCATTGAAGTGTAGTTATTAATGTACACAGTTTTGAAGAAATTACAATCACAAACTGCATAAAAAATATATGCAGACGGCGAATACAGGTCATCTGCTATATCACCCCTTGTTACTGTTGATATATTATAACTTATTTGTTTTTGACCAATTTTCTGCCATAAGTAAAACAATGACTATGTTTGATGGCATCTGAGGTCATCTGCCATTTTAAACATGTTTAAATGGGATTACAAATGCTTTCCACCCCAGTTTTATAAGCTATTGGGGTTTCAACTATTTTGTGTTGTTGTTACTGAAAGGGAGGCGAACGATACCAAATGGAATTCAAACTCATAAGTCGGAAATAAACTGACAACGTCATGGCTAGAAAAGAAAAAGACAAACAGACAAACAACCGTACACAAAACACAACATAAAAAATCAAAGACTGAGCAACACGAACCCCACCAAAAACTGGGGTGGTCTTAGGTGCTCCGGCAAAATAAATAAAAAATATAGAAATATGGCTCTAAAAAATTTAAAGAAAAAAGAAATGATCGACCCCATCCACTAAGACGACTGGTCATGTTTGGTATCAATTGCCTAAGTGTTTTTTTCTTTTGAAAACTCGTTTAAGCAAGTTACACGGACGACAAACACATAGTAAAGTACATTGTAACTAGATTAATACCCAAGCGTTAAGCGGGCCGATTATTGCAATTTCAATTTACATGTCAAATTTGATATAGTTTAGCACCAACGATTTATCTATACAAATATCATAAAAGGTCAATAGTAAAATACACATATCCTGGTCACCGACATTGATATATATGTTTTCTGTTGAATAATAAAATAGACTATTTTGACAGGTAAGGTAAAGGTAATTTCATTGTCGTTCGTTTCCATTCATAAAATAAGTCGGTCAGATTGTCAAAGGGAGATAATTTTTCCCGGGGTTTTATTATCCAGCTTCTTCAGTTACGTTTATCTGAGATCTCCTTCTCCTCAAAAAGATAAAACCTCGAGATTTTTTTTCAAAGATACTGATAACATAGTATCAGGTTTTTTTATTAAGCTAAGTACTGGAAAAAACTGTAGTAGTCTGCACGAGACTAGGTCAGCGGTAATCGACTAGTCTGAAATCATATGCATATATATAAGCGGAAGAGTCTGGCGACTGGGAATGTTATTAGATTTAGCCAACAAAGAAAGTCGATTTTTCAGTAGATTCTCATAACACAATTTTATCTGAGGTAAGATATATGAAACTTTTAAAAAAACTTTGGCTAATTTCTTTCTTTTTAAACAATAGTTTTATTACTATATATCTGTTTATATTCTCTAGTATTGTGTAATTGATGTTAAAACTGACCAGTTTTTCGCGCAAGCATAGTTTTTGTATACAGCTGTACAATAGTAAAGTAGTACATATTTATTAAACATTGTCAGTGGGCAATATTTGTTTTTGGAGGGAGGGAGAGAGTTTATTGCTTTTTTTTTTTGGGGGGGGGGGGGGGGGGGGAGAGTTTATTGCTGTAACTTTTCTTGATTGTTGTTAAAATGCAACGGAAATTAAAATATATGTCTAATCAGTTTATGGATTGAAATAGTCGACAATTTAATTTTCAAAATTAATTTTAATGAGAACAATTTGTTCATCAATAATACTGGTTATATTCATGGCATATGTTTGCATATTAAAGTGTTTTAAAATGTAAGAGGTTGACGTAATTTGCTTATCCAGACTGAGCTATACATTGTCAAGTGACCTTGAGTCCTGCAGAAATACTTTAATCTGAGTGTTACCTCAGTGGATACCTGTCTCAATACAAGTTTGTATGTAATGGTTGTCCAAGTGATTTTTACATTCATTGTTTCACAGTTTCGTTTGGTGTATGGCTGGATCTTGGATTTTGTCCACTTTCGTCAAATAACAGGTAAATAAATAGGCGTTTTAACACTTGATCAACCTGGTCCGAACTCAGAGATGTTCTTGATAAGTATAAGATATATAAGTATTTTTCTATAATTGGTTGTGCGATTTTCACTTCTAATTTGTTTTTTTCATTTTGTCAGAATTGAGGACATCAGAAATATGATATTCTACTTTTGCATGCATTTACGTTTTGTAACGAAATTACCTCCGATTACTACCTCAAATGAAATGTCATTAATATAATATATGTTTTATATTAAAATGGCGACACATTTGTATTTATTTTTAATCTATCCCTTTTCTTTTTTCTTTTTTTTTTTAGGGGGGGGGGGGGGGGTAGAGGGGGTTTATTTGTACAGTACTTACATTATTTTACGATCACCTAAATATTAGATTTGTATATGAATGAATGACATTAGTACATGGATAGAATTCAGTTGAAATAAGACATTTGTTTCATATATAATTGGCCGTGCTATTAGAATTGTGCTCTCGTTTTTCTTAGGAATTACACATCAGAGCTTCCTGAAATCTGATATCAAGCTTCTTGTGAACATGCTACATTTTAAATACTGTGTGATACGATGCTACTTCCTGTTCACCGAATACTAATGTATTCTTTCACATCTTGGTCGTGTATGAAATTTTCGCCGCATTTTTCTCAGGAACTACAAATGAAAGTTTTTTTTTTATTTTGAAGCCACCTTCGTGTGAGCATGTTATACCTTGAGATGCATCCATCGGTCGTCAAACTTCCTGTTTACCGCATACTTGTAACTGGGATTCCATTGATGAGCAAAAGTTCACAGCTTATTTTATTTATCTGTAAATTGCTATTCTTTATAGAGATTGCTTGTATCAGTCATCTGTCGAAAAGTTTTTCTGTCTGTTATAAAAGCATATATGTAAAATCGAAAATCTTCAAACATGTTTGTAAGAATAGAACGAAATTAATAAGAAACGCCTCAGACAATTTGCAAATATACAAACGCATTTTTCAGTTCCAGTAGCATTGGCCTTGTTATTACTTTAAGGCATGATATTTTCTTATTCAAATTGGAACTTCACAAAATAGCTTCAAAACACGTATATGTAGTCCTGCAACACATACATGTATTTCGGTATACATTTTTGAGTGTTTTTCTTAATGCCTTTCGATGTGAAAAGTCGCAGTATGGGAGACATATAGGGATACTAATCCGCCGTTTTAACCATTTGTATTTATATTTCAGAAGGA